GAAAATCGGTACGTTTGTCGGCATTTTTCTTAGCATCACTGTAATAAACTAATAAAGTTTAAAACATCTACCAATACTGGAAACCAACATCTGGAAATTCTAGTTCACAACAAATGTATAATAAAAATTCTTAGCATTAGCCGCAGGCCCATTTGGGTATGGCAATAAACTATGCCAGGGATGAGTAACGTACGGTCCGTGGGCCGCTTGTATTAAAATTTATGTATGAAATCTTTACTTTTTTAAAATTTCATATTTTTTTCTTCTAATGTTTATTATAAATAAAGTTTAATTCCCGTTGAACCGGTTCAAAAACCGGTTCACGTATTTGTTTCGGTTCCGTTCGAGTTCCGGTTCAGCAGAAAAAAAACGTTCCGGACTCCGGTTCACGGTTCGGAAAAACAAGCCGGTTCGTTCCGGTTTTTGTTCCGGTTCGGGTTCGGTTCAAAATTAGAAAAAAAATCAGCAATTCTTTTTATTTTTTTTTTTCAATACGTCAGCCAATTCTCGTTATCAGAAATCATCTTTAGTTCCGGAACGCGTTCCTGTCCAAAAAGGAAGTACCGGAACGACGTTCCGGAGCATTCCGGCTCGACAACACCACTGAAGACACCCCTAATTACCACAAAAAAGTTTTTGAACGGACACGTGTTTCGTCCACTTCATACGTGGGCATTATCAACGCGAGATTGCGACTGCGATAATGCCTACGTATGAAGTGGGCGAAACACGTGTCCGCTCAAAAAGTTTTTGTGGTAATTAGGGGTGAGTCTTCTTTTTAATTTTTAAATTAATTGGAAAATGTTATTTGTATATCTGTAACTATTAATTCTTTTGCGTATTTAAAACTCTTGGGGGTGAGGGGTTATAAAGTAATAGCACGCCTTTTATGTTAAATAAAATTGTGTACTTTGATTAAAAATTAAACGATATTTCGTACCGTTGTTAACCTATATGCGAAATGCACTTTCAGGGTAGTTTTTTCGGTCCGCGTAATCGATGGATTTATGAATTTTTGCATAAAATTATTTGTGCGTTGACACCGCCATTTCTGGCCTTATTTTTGTCTCGATTAAAAACTGAAATTAATGGCAAACATCAAAAAGTATTTAATGGACAGATGGTTTTATTTAAAATACAATTGCAAAATGCTAAAATACCTATTTTATATTTTAAATGCCCATTTATAACAAATAGTTTCTGTTTGTATAGGAGGTAGTTAAATGTTTTTTAATCATACCTTCTATTTTGAAAATATTAAATTTGAACTGCAGCGGCTTTGTTTTCGCCGTACTCGACTTAAATTTAACTATCTCAACACAACAGTGACCTAACTAAGAACGTAGCGCCCCCCCCTCTCTTTCTCTTTACATTGTAATAATATAGTTTGGTTTTCAACATGTTCAATAGTTTCATTGAAAATCCGTTGATAAGGAATTATAATTTGATCGGTTTTTAAAAAGTGTCCTTTATTTATATAAAATCTGTCGATATTAAAAGACAATTCAAGACAATTTAATGATTGTGATTCTATAAATAGTACCGAGGAAGCCCTGCTTTGAATGGGTTTGATTCGTGAACTAAGTTTCAAAACATGCGAATTTTTCAGCACGATAAAACACTTTTTAGAGGTCGTTTATGAATTTTAAAATTGGAAAATCGGTTATTGTTTTGAATAGTCAGTTTCGTATGCTACCCTTAGGTTCATGTACGCTTAGTATAAATCATCACAAACGCTACGTTACTTGGGTTTGGATGTTTGTTTTTTGTAGGTATAAAATAAATAAATAATAGCTAATAGCCTGTTTTAAATATGTTATTTGTTATACTAGGGTAGGGAAAGAGCGAATGTAAAGATAGAAGACGAAAAATTGGAAGAAGCCGCTTTTTAGATATCTAGGAAGTCAGATAGGTCAGGTCGGAAGGAGTTGTAGCGATATAAAACAGAGGATAGCGCAGGGTCGTGTCGCCTTTAATAAAAAGAAGTCGCTTTTATGCTCGCGAACGGTTAATTTATAAATTCGAAAAAGGTTGTTAAAGGTGTATGTTTGGAGCGCGGCGTTGTACGGGTGAGAAACATGGACAGTGGGCGCGGCGGAAAAGAAAAACTTAGAAGCGTTCGAAATGTGGTGTTACAGGCGAATGATCAGGATACCGTGGATAGAAAAGGTTAGAAATAAAGAGGTATTAGAAAGAATAGGAGAACAGAGGACTCTATGGAAGTCAATAAGAAATAGGCAAGATAGGTTGGTAGGACACCTTCTGAGGCATGAAGGTCTAGTCAGAGACATATTAGAGGCAGAAACAGGAGTTAGGAGGGGTAGAGGTAGACCTAGATTAGATTACTGTTAACAAATAGTTAAGGATACAGGTTGTTGTAGTTTTGCGAAGATTCGCTCAGGATAGGAAAGAGTGGAGGTGCGTGTCCAACCAGTCTTAGGACTGACGACCTTATGATGATGATGATGATGTTATACTACGCTCTGCGTTATTAAATCTGAAGTTATTGGAGAATTAAATTTTAAAGATTCTTTAGGTGTGCAGGACCCCCAGAATCTCTGGCCACCCGCGTCGTGGCTCCTGCAGGCTTGTTAGCTACGCCAGTGCCATCATAGGCTTCTTAAAAATGGTAACCAAAATATTGATTGATTGTGAACTAATAAATTATACAAACTTTAATTCAACATATGCCATTAAAAATTCATCAGTACTAATAGATAAAATTTCCAAGAAACTGTAAGCCATTATCGGTGCTCGATTTACGCTAGGGGCACTAGAGGCTATTGCAAATTCCCGAGGGTGGTAAAATTCGGGGATTGAGATAAAAAAAAATTTTGCGCTATCAAAAATGTATAAAAAAGTGTGCATTTAGGAATAACGTTGTTACTTTTTTCAATATTTGGGCAGAAATACCTTTTAAATGAATTAATCAGTTGAGGTACAATCCGCAGCATTTGATAATGTTTGTAAGGTAGAAACAGATAGCTGAGTACCACATCTCGATTTTACTAGGAATTCGAATGTCGTAACAAAAAAGAAAAATCTTTTTTCGAAATCTGATGAATACTTGATTTTCGGCCTCAAATGAATAATTCTGCAATTTTGAAAAATTAGTGTTTTTTATAGTGGAAAGTCAAAAAGCATTCTGAAAGTATATTGTGTAGAATATAGGTAATGGAGCGGCATTTTTTACGATGCCCAGGGCGGTATTAAGGGACAATCCGACCTGATTATTGTTGAAAAATTTTTACAATGTTTTGAACAGCTTACATACAAATCAAATTCACAATAGAATTAGAAACAAACAATTCTTTAAATTTTTTAGATCCAACTATTAAACTTGAAAATTCCCAACACAAATATAACATTTTTCGTAAACAGACACTATTACAGCCCATTTCAATTTGTTTGAATTGTGACCTTGAAGAAATCTGCGCGAAGATAGAAAGAATACACGCTAGGCGTGAGCAAGACAGAAATAGTCGGAACAAGCTTGAATGAGCAGAGCTCTCTATGGGCGGTCTTACGAGATCGACTAGAATTGTACAGTACTAGACGAAAATGTTTAGCAATTTCTTAAAACAAAAATGTATATAAATTAACAATACAAAACAAAGCAAAAGTTTTATAGGTGTGTAGAACGATTAAGTTAATTCACTTGTTATTATTTTTGGCTAAATATGCTTTTAAATAAAGCATATTCTTAAATTTTAACGAGGCAGTTTAAATAATTTTGCAAATGGTAATGTACACTTTTGTGTAGCTCTCGCTCGATGATTGGTGAAGAAATGAGCTGCGCAGACAAATGTGATTGAATTTGGAATTATGCTACGACGCATCCTAATAAAGGGAAAGGGCATATTTCCAATTTCTTGAAACGAACGGTATACACGCACTCATAAGTTAGCAGCATTTAATTATTTTATACACCGATTAATTAATGTATCAATGTCAACAGATCAATATCAAACAGAATTAAATAAAATATATACAATTGCGATGAACAATGCTTATAAAACGGCACTAGTAGACCAAATTATCAATAAAAACCAAAAGCAAAAAATTATGAACAACATTTATCCAATAATCAAAACGAAACCTAATAGATTCGATTGTGTTTCTTATTATGGAGATATATCTTTAAAAGTTAATAAAATTGCAAAAAGTACAAGCAATAGTTTTAGGACTAACAATTGTTTAAGTAGATATATAATTAATAACAAATGTAAAACCCCTAAACAGTATGGTTCAGGAGTTTATCTATTGAAATGTAAAGATTGTCCCGAAGTATATATAGGACAAACATGTAGAGAGTGCGAAATTCGCATAAACGAACATTTTGAAAAAGTGTTTTTCACTTATGCAGAACATCTGTTAGATAATAACCATAACTTCAACTTCAATTAAAAATTTTATATAGATAGAATAAAGGTTTCAAGTTAAATTTACTAGAACAGTTAGAAATTAATAGATACTATAAAAAACGAGTGACTTTAAACGATCAAATAGAAGGCATTAGTTTATCATTACTCAGTATTAATTGTACTAACTTTAAGAACAATCCCCCAGGCATTTCGATGGTTCCCCCCAATACCCCCCACGCTTAATCATTTTCCTTTCTCCACCCTCTCCTCAATCCCAACCTTCCATTCTTTTCCCGAGGATGACTGTAACCCTTAGGGTTTATCTGACCATTCGAGGAGGGGTTTTAGTCTGTAAAAATCTGACACTACCACCCTTCAGGGGGTGTCTTTTGAAGATTTCCCCTCCTCGAGAATAATCTAAACAAAAAAAAATTAAGTTTGTAGTCCCTTTCAAAGGACGACATCAACCTCAGTCTATTAAATAATCGACTAACACTTCAGAAAGAAAATAGATACCTAGGAATCACTCTAACACACACAATGAAGCCGCACACAGATATAAAAAATACACTCGATAGAGTACGCAATCGTGCAAACTTAATCTCACTAATTAACGGTCGTATTAAAACTTGTAACACAGATACAGTTCTTCACACTTAATAAAACTTATCGAGTAATATCACTAACTACAGCCACACCGGGTATTCACACACACATAGTATTCTCACAACGTAAAGTGGCATCCTATGGAAAATCGCGAGATTAGGTAGATTTCCTCTAATACTCTGTACGACAACATTAAAATCGATCCTATTCCTACACGCATTAACAACTTACAAACTAATTCAAAATTCACCAAACAACAACCCCATTAGCACACACACAGACAATACACACACACACACACACACACCCACTCACACACAGACATATACACACGTCATCAACAACTTAAAAACATAATCACCAAATATAATTAACACAACACACGGCTGAAGAGGACCTGAGTTGAGGTCCTATAACGGCCTGAGGTAAAAGGGTTTTAGTCGGTAGGTCCAAGGACACTTTCTTCTGGAATCTCGCTTTTGTATACCTAACATTTGCAGTGAACATTTAGCGTACTCTGTATGCTTTCTACGTGCTTTTTGACGCCAGTTTCGAATCTGGTCTCAAAATTACTACTGAACGTTTGATTTTGAAATGTCCCAACATCAAATTCCAAAAAATTAAATTTTTTGTCCCTTTTGTGTGAAATGAAAGGCCAAATTAACCAATAGAATAGTGACCTTCGACTTATTTTATTGTAGCTTTTCTGAGAATACATTTGAGTACGCCAGCGACGAATAAATAAAAAATGATTATTTTACTTTTAGATTGTTTTTTCAGCTACCCATACGGGCTACGACAAGTTAAAAACAAAAAACACAAAGAGGCTAATTATTTTCAATGTATTTTTTGAATCTGTCTTCAGAATTGCCACAAAATATTGAAATTTCAAGAAACAGGCCGAATTAGCAACAATTGGATTTTGGAGTTCAAATATTTTAAAATCTTGATGTGCAATATTATGATATCAACGACAAAAGATATTCTCTTGGTTTCTTTGTTCTATTATTTGAGTTTTGAGATTAGGTTGCCAAAAAATGTTTTGATGAGGCCAGATTTGGATTCAGTGTATCAAATGTATCAAATTACGTCGTAATAATTGTCCTTTTCTTTTTTCCTTTTCAATATTTCATTTCGTTGACCTGTGCTTTGATAAAAGAAAGAAAGAGATTCCAAAACATCAAAAGTTTGAGGAATATAACGTGTACAATTGTAAATGAATGTTTTACCACATTGGAAACCAAATTAACCGATTTTCCTTACATAAATTCTGCACGAACTTTATGATAAACAATGAAACACTTTTATTAATAAACAAAAATAATAACAAAGACAAGCACTTTATTTTTTACATTTCGAGTGGACTTTTTAGAATAATTTTACATTTAGTTTTTGGTTTACGAAATATTTTCATATTTTCCATATTCTATTTAAAATACTTCGTATTTCTCACATTTCCATGACCGAAAAAAATATTAATTGAAACAACTCTACTATTAATCAAATAGTGACTAGGTTTCTAATTGCAAATACTGTTTTTAACAATTTGTTTCCATTATAACTATTCGAATACTGAAATACTAAATTTTTTTTAAACATTTGCTACGTATGCTTAAATACTAAGGGACTGACTTAAAAATTATAATAAAAATCATACCTTGCTTGTGAGAGAGCATCAGCAATCATATTCGAACGAGATCGCTACTGTTGCTACTGCGATTTCAGTTCCTCTTAATAAACCTTTTATATCAGATTTTTAAATCTAATTTGTTAAAGCTTTGTCCAAATAATTCCATTATAAATGCTTTTTATTAGATCAAAAGCAAAATCAGGAATCGATATCTAACAGATTCAATTCAATTCAATTATAAGTATCTAGTATTGTGCTATACATATATATGATATATCTGTGTGTTTGTCTTATTACGTATATTTATATTAATTAGATTAAAATATGATAAGAAAAGTATCAAAAATACCATTCCCGCTGAGGTTCCCAAAAAATTCAACTAATATTAAGTATGAAACAGCTAAAATAACATATGTGACACGATATCTGTGAGTACCCAAAACACAGATAGTTAAAATGGATAAATTCTTATTTAGGCCACTAATACAAAGTTGGTACATCTAAATTGTTTATTTAAAGCTGTAAGCTAACACCTACTTACCTACTGTCAATTAGCGACCGTTTAAATAGCGGAATTAGTGATAATCGGTGAGTCGAGAGTCGAATCCATGATCACAGAGAAGGGTGGTGAGGCGGCTTGCCTTCTTCAGTCACCCTGTTATAGTTCCTTGCAATTTTCTACGTCCCCTATAATAAGCTTGGCTAAGTTTATTATTATATTGTAGCGAGCACGAGTGTGTTTGTGTGCGATCGGGCACACGTGTGCGTGAACGGCTTATCGATTCGCCGGCTAGCCGCGGGCGCCTTTCTTCATGTGCGCCGTATTTGTAAATGTGTCTCGTACCTGCGTTCTGGGAAAGCAGTTAAATAGTTCAAAGAAAAAATAAACTATCTGGATGTTTCCAGAATGTTCCCGAAAGTAAACGAAAGAGTATTTAAAGGAAGAGACGATCGCCGAGAGTAGTAAAAATAAATTGACTGTTGCAGAAGTGAATCCAGAAATAAATTGACAGTGATAGCAGTGAAATAAATAGCCTAGTGAATAGTGATATATCAATAATTAGTGTAAATAAATAGTTTTTGTCGTTATCAGTCTTAGAAGTTAATTTTGTTGAACCCACGAACATTACAATATTGTTAAATTAGTAATTAACTATAGTTAAATTGTTGATTAGTCATTCTAAATTATATAATCCGCTTTCAATATTAGATTAATGTAATTATATTCCATTTCTAAAAATATAAAACTTGTTGTTATTTAACATAGTGGAGTATTTATGTTTCAAAATAAACATATAAATTCGCTTCTTTATGATAAATAAAAGTATCAAAAATACCATTCCCGTTGAGGTTCCTCAAAATTCAACTAACGTGAAGTATGAAACAGGTAAAATGACACGATGTGATACGATATTAGTAAGTACCCAAAAAACAGATTAAAATGGATTGTTATAAGTTATACTTAGTAAGTAAACAGTAGATATTTTATGTTTCCATAACGTCTTTCTTTTGAAGAATACGCCAATGACTTTTTTAAAGATTCTCACTCTAGGTATATTGGTAAAAGCTATAGTTATTGACGAAATATGTTTATAAGTAAGTAACTGATGTTTGTGACTAGTGATGAGCGAAATAAGACAATTGATTTTTCTCTTGATTATTCGGTTATGGTCTTGCTGATATGGTCTCCGACTTGGTCTTAGTCTTGCGTGTTGTCTTACTCTTGCTTATCTGCACTCATAAAAAGAATATCTCCAATGAAAAGAAGTAAATGATTTGTTTATATATAATCAGAAAAATATTTTCTACAATCGACTATAATAATTACTCATTAATATTTCGTTAATATCTTCTTCGGAAAACTTCTATTCTCCTTCGAAGATTGACGTATTTTTAAATAGAAATAGTATATATATTGGTGCAATAAAATAAATAATTCAGTTGATCTAAGATAAAATTTTTGGTGGAAGTAATAAAAACCATTGGATTAAAATAGAAAATCTGTTATTTCAAGTAAATATATTATTCCAGTTTAAAATTACCGTCGTTCTATTTTTACAGTTCAGAAAATTGGTTTCTAATATTTTCTTTCTACTTACCTTCTCAAAAGCTTTGTGACACGTTTCGAGTATTAATACATTCTATTTCTGGATATTTTTTAATAAATAATTAATACAGTGTATATTAACGTTTTTTTTAATAATTATTCAAAGCGCAAATTTTTCTTTTTACCGACACATTAATCGTATTAATAATTGGATTAAAGACTGGGACAGTCTTGGTCTTGATCTTGCTTTGCTTATCACTAGAAAGAAGTAGAAAATATCGAAGAAAATTAGTTTCTCTATATTTCAACCATGTGTTATCCAAACACAGGAACAAAGAACGCTTACTCCGAGAA